TTTTTCTCCATTCAGAATGATGCTAGCCTGAGGCTTAGCATAGATTGCTTTTACAATATTGAGGTATGTTCCTGTTATCCCTAGTTTTTCTAGAGTTTTGAACATAAAGGGATGCTGTACTTTGCAATGGATGAATGGATAAAAAAAATGTGGCATTTATACACAATGGAGTATTACTCTGCATTAAAAAATGACAAAATCATAGAATTTACAGGGAAATGGATGGCATTAGAGCAGATTATGCTAAGTGAAGCTAGCCAATCCCTAAAAAACAAATGCCAAATGTCTTCTTTGATATAAGGAGAGTAACTAAGAACAGAGTAGGGTCGAAGAGCATGAGAAGAAGATTAACATTAAACAGGGATGAGAGGTGGGAGGGAAAGGGAGAGAGAAGGGAAAATGCATGGAAACGGAAGGAGACCCTCAGAGTTATACAAAAGTACATACAAGAGGAAGTGAGGGGAAGGGGAAAAATAATACAAGGGGGACAAACGAATGTCAGTAGAGGGGGCAGAGAGAGAAGAGGGGAGGGGAGGGGAGGGGAGGGGAGGGGTGATAGTAGAGGATAGGAAAGGCAGCAGAATACAACAGACACTAGTATGGCAATATGTAAATCAATGGATGTGTAACTGATGTGATTCTGCAATCTGTATATGGGGTAAAAATGGGAGCTCATAACCCACTTGAATCAAATTGTGAAATATGATATATCAAGAACTATGTAATGTTTTGAACAGCCAACAATAAAAAATTAAAAAAAAAAAAAGAATATTATAGGAATCATATTTGTGTAAGTTAAAAAAAATGATTCGCATTACAATGATCTACTGCTGAAAAGGGGTCAAGTATTAAGAGCAGTAGGAATTCCTAACTACTGTTAGACTAGAATATAATGTGTAACATTCTTTCCAATTTTGATTTGGTCTAGAGAATGATAAAGAAAAGAAAGTATATTTGGTAGCCCACAGTAGTATGCAGTAACTCTAAATTAGAACTAAACTATTCAGAGAATCTTATTAAATACCTAAAAACTTGATTCACCTTCCCTTGACTTTATTTTGTCATAAAACTTCTTTCTCCTTTAAAACTTGAGTCAATCAGAGAATACATTCTCCATGTTCTTCACCTGCTTTGCCAATTTCTGAAGGCCACAACAAAAATCTAAATTTTGCCATTAGGGAGCATAATCTCAGTAGTCACAATAGTAACAAATATTCTATTTTACATTGCCACCTTCATCCCTCTGTCTCTTTGCTCTTTCTCAAGTAATGGGGAAGTCCATTAATGTCAAAGCAGATGCATTCTTAATTGCAGAGGGTTTTCATTGAAATAACCAGAACAAAGTGATAGAAAGTTGAAGGGATTATGTAACTTGCCACAGAACATCCTTCTCATGTTTCATCTCTCATAGATTATCTTTTTTGAATCAGCAGCTATTGTTAAATAACTTTCTCTTTACTTCACTATTATGTATAAGAATTTTTATTACTTACCATCAACCGCAGGTGTTTTAGTTGCTAAAACAACAACTAGGGCAATAGCTATTATAGTAACTATTGCAAAGAGGACAATGAGGGAGATTTCTAATCCACTAAATTTCTTCCTTGCCATCTGAAAGAAGGAAAGGAATTTAAGATTAAAATACAAAATATATAACCACAATGAACCTTATCAATTATTATGAAATTACATATACTAATTTTTACTAAGCAAGAGACAAGCAGAGGTGAAAATAGCTTTATCAGTTTATCAGTTGACAAAAATGTAAGCAACACATATGATTTTTAGCAAAAGAATGAACTAATTGTACACACTACATAGTACACTAAGATGTAAACAAGGAAATAAATAATTCCAAACTGGTGTTCTTTGTCCTCTTGTTTTAAGGCATTATTCAAGTCAAAGAAAGCTTTAACTTTCACCATGTCTCCTGATTTTTACTGTTTTTAATTCTGTGAAGGAGATGTTCTTATTCACACTTTCCTGATCACAAACTTAAAACTGAGAGATGTTATATTTCAAAGTAAAATGGAACAGTTCTACCTACTTTAATTGATGTCTTTCCAATCCAACAGTGCCATCATATAAAAAATTTGTGGAAACATCTAAGTACGTATATTGGGAAGGATGCTATATATTTGGAAATGTTACTATATTTTAAAACATTCTGAACTATACAAATGTATTTTTTCTATGAAATACACCAAGCTACCATATATTTATTTTAGATAGCTTTATGTATTTGAGACAACATATGGAGGATACCTAAAAGTTGATTGCAAAGGACCTTTCTCCAATAATTATTTTAAATCATATTTAAATTAATCATGACAATATATATCTCATTTTTCCTAGTTTTTAACTATCCAGGATTTTCTGTATTCCAGCAAACACCCAGGTAGAATTTATAATTTCTATGGTTTTCTTTAGTTGGTAAAATACTTTTAAAATCTTTTATTATTTTTGCCTAAAGATGGTTCCTTTTGTGACTACCCAGTTGCCAAAACATAAAAACCTCATTTTCCTCCCCCATATTTTTCCATGACATTCAATAATTCAACAAGTTCTATTGAATTTACCTACAAAATATTTTCAATATTATAACCTCCACCTGCCCCTAACCCTCAGCATATCTTTTGGATAACAGGTCTTCTTATATTCAGTCCCTTCCCATATACCCTGATAGGGAAGTTGAAACTAATGCCCAGTTCATATGTCAGGGTCTCTGTGAGTGGATTCATATTCTTAGAGGCAGAATTAATCTAATTTTTCTTTATTTTACCATTACACATAGTATCTATTTCAATTTTTTATGTCCATGTAAGTTTCCTCTCTTTCACAGTAATATTCTTAATAGCAAGAAGGATAAAATGCAGTCCAGAGGCTGATACTGAAAAAACTCAAGCTTAGTTTTTTTACTATGCCATATGAATGGATGTTTGAAGATTACATTAAATTTGAATATATATTTTTCAGTTTTGGATATGTAAAGTGTTCATTACAATGATAGTAGTCAAAGAAATTAAAAAGTGTAAGTTTAGTATCTATGCTAAATTTAATCAAAGCAATAAGTGATGTTTATAAAATGAAACCCAGTTGCTCAATGTTACATGAGAAATAACATGGTCACATTTAATGTTTAACTTTAAGTAAGGGTAAATTTCACTTAAGGAAACAATAACAAGGATTGTGCTTTTCATTTTGCAAAGGGACATTTAAAAAGCACACATTATCATGACAGAAACCTTCCTTTACCTAAAAAAAATTACAACAAAAAGAATACCAAAATAAAATTACTCATATTAATAATAATAATAAATACCTGCTAAAATTATTCATATGCTGTAAGTGATAATTGCAGTGATTATATTATATATCATAGTAATTTTAAACATAAAACTTTGGGGGAATTGCATATTGATACTTTTACTAAAAATTAATAATATTTTGTTTGATGGTAACTTGTTTTCCTCTAGAAAACATTAAGTGTTTTTAGAAATCTAGCATAAATAAAGTATATTTTATCATACTTTGATCCTTCTATTTTTTCCAAAATATTTACATTCTTGCTATTTTTCTATATAGAGCAATTAAAATAAGTCATGATTCCAAATTTGACATATAATTTGACAAATTATACTGAAGTGGTAGACATAGAAAACAGTCTCATATATTTAAAATATATATATATATATATATATAATATTATATAAATTTTATATATAACATATATATAAATTTTTTCCTCTATTTTTAATATTAGGGACAATATATTTAAAATGACACCTTAAAATATATTATTTTGCTATTTTGAATAGGTGCAAATAGATAGGGGTATTACTAATGTGAATTAAGAAGAGATATATTTACTTAAAAACATATAAGTAACAAAGTAACATGATCCATAGACTTACCTTTCATAGTCTTTTCTATTTGCTATGTTGTTCCAGAGCTGAGTAAGGCTGTTAAAGTAATGACCATGGGAAATTACTCAGGTATATATTGACCTACTCATAAATTTTTATTACACACTCACTAGCCTATCAATATTTAATATACTTCTGTTAAACATGTAATTGTAAAAAGCCTTAACCCTGAAAGAAGTTTGTGTAAATATTCCTGAGAATCTGAGTTAATTAATAACTATGTTCTCTGACAGTCTTTGACTTGTAGAAGCTAGGAACTATCTAAGAACATAAGAGTAGTTATTTCAATTATTTTTGTTTTCAAAATTGTATTTTTCAATATTTAGTTATTTAAATAATATCTCATTGTGTTAAATTTAAATTATCACTGAAAAGCATAAATATGTTTTAAATATTGAATTGGATTTATAAAACATTGGAACAATTGCAAATTAAAAGATGATATTTCATTAAAAATTGTTGATTAACATTAACCACGTATTGTAGTTAACTTTAAATTTGAAGAACTGACCAAATCCATAAGAAAAATATATAAAAATAAAAACATGAATAAACAGTTCAGATATAAAATCAACATTTTATTAATCTGCTTATTTTACATAAATATCACTAATTTATGCAAAATCACATTGTAAACACTTCATAATTCATACAGCAAAGTTTATAGAGCCAATTATACTGCTAATTTAAACTACAATGCTGTTTGAGAACAGCTGTAGTATGAATACCTGAGAAACCATGGGCAAATTTGTTTACTTATTTAAGCCTACATCTCTTTATTTATAAATTGTTAAGTACAATACTTCCCGACAGGGTCACTGAGAGAATTATATGAACTTATATGAATTATTATTGAACTTATATGAATTTGTATGAATTATTATTGCAATGTTACTATCACAAAGAAAGTACAATTTGATTATGAAATAGCATTTGATTTCTATACAACATCTGTCACTAACTTTTCACAAGAACATGCATTAACATAATGTGGTCACACAGAGTAGCACAACTCACTTTTAGGGCACCCTTAATTCAAGTATAAAGAGAATAAAAGAACTGCTGGATGAATTACTATAAGACTCAGGGGAGGTACAAACTTCCAGGTACATGGAAAAATAATAGAATTACCTAGAATGGCCTCAATGGGCACAGCACTGAGTTCAATGTAATTCATTCCATACTTATAGACCACAACATTATATATGTGGAAAATTTTATTACATCCACCATAATCTCCTGGAAACAATATGTGAATGTAAGACGATCATAAGCTATAATACCAATATGCAAAAGCCAACCAAGTTCCTACATGATAACAATGAAATATATATATATACACACACACACACACACACACACAAACACACACATAGATAATAGTCATATCAGCCCAAAAAATAAATACTTGGATATAAAACTTACAAGTTATATGCAGAATATCTGTTATGAAAACTTCAAATCTTCATGAAAAAAGTCAAGGAAGATAAAAATAAATGAAGAGATGATCAATTTCATAAATTGGAAAATTCAATATTATTAATCTATTACTTCTTCACAATCAGATCTATATATTCAATATAATAAAAATCAGATTCTCAGCAAGTAGAGATAGATGAGCTGATTATAATTTTGTGTATCATTTTTATAAGATTTTATTTCATGATTTCCCCTGAATGGAAACAATTGAGGTGTCCATCAGCCCCTGGCATTTCTTTACAACAGTAAATAACTCAGTAATAAAAATTTATGAACTCCTGCCTCATTTAACAATATGGATAAATTTTAAATGTCAGGTTATTTTTTTCCCTGAAATTTCAGTTCTCTGATGAGATTTTTTTAAAAATAGTCGATTGCTGGGAGCCATTAGCCAAGTAGGTATGACAATTTCCTTGCCAGCGTACCCCATGTTGCAGTGACATTGAATGTAGGTGACCTTGTTCAAGGACCAAGGCGGATTAGGGCATTCCCGGTTTAGGTTCCAGGTTTAAGGTTTAAGATTATTCCAGCTGGGAATAGGGCGTATCTTGCTGCCTGAGTTCCCCTTGAGTTCTCACGGGATTCAGACAGTATATTTTGGAGATAGAAGCCCAGTGGAGGTGGATTTGGGCAGAGAACGTGGATTTGGGCAGAGAACGTGGATTTCCCCAGAACGTGATTGTAGACGGCTGGTGTGAGTTCGGGAATAAAGAGTTGCTGTTTGAATCTACAAGCTGTGTGGTGGCTCGTGATTGTGTGCCCAGCCAGACTGCGGCATTTGTGCCCAGCCAGACTTCGGCAGTCGATTAGCAGTTCATCCATATTTATTCTTCTCTTAAGAATAGGAGTAAGCGCTCTTTCCAGCTTTCCATGTCATTTAATTGAAACTTTCAATTTTGAATTAGTCCTCCATTGTAATTAATTAATTAATTAATTAATTAATTAATGGTACTGGGGATTGAACTCAATGGCACTTAACCACTGAGATATATCCCTAACCCTTTTTTTTTTTCCGCCTGTATTTTTATTTAGAGACAGGGTCTCAATAAGTTGCTTAGGGCCTGGCTAAGATGCTGAGGCTGGCTTTGAATTTATGATCCTCCTGCCTCAGCCTCCTAAGCCACTGGGATTACATGTATGCACCACTACGCCTGACTCCTTGTATTTTATTTCATATGTCAAAATATTTTCAATAATTGTGTTTTT